TTAGTAGTTCAGTAGTTTAGCAGTTTTTAGCATTTTAACAGTTTAACAATTAGTAGTTTTTTAGTAGTTTAGCAGTAAAAAATAATTTTTTTTACAACTTTAGAAACAAACTTTTGCTTTTTTTTTTTTCTTCTCTTAAACAAAGAACTACCACCATCGGAGGAAAATTTCCCATATGATAGAAATATATCAACAAAGCCCTTTTTTTTAATAGTAGAAATGAAAAAAGTAAAAAAGCCAAACACCAAATATTAAAAGGCTAAAAGGCCAAAAAGGCTAAAAGGCCAAAAAGGCTAAAAGGCCAAAAAGTCAAATCACCAACAAAGCCTTTTTGATTTTGCTAGACTAAGAAATGCCTCAACTTTCTCCTCCTTCCCATTCCTCAACAAAGTTTATACTTGTCACCACCAACAACAACAAGTTTCTCCTCTTCAACAAGTAAATCAAGAAACCCTTGAAGCTCAGATAAAGTATGAGTATATGGAGTCTCCGCAGGCACAAGAACTTTCAAAAATGAGTGAATTCGCTCTGCAGGAACAGCACCCAGGTTGGTCAACATCCCAACCACATACGAAGTATACACGCGAAGCTCTTCCTTTGGATCTTGTGGTGCCGCAGCTTCGCCAATATCTTCGACAACTAAAAGTAATAAAGTGTTAGAAATATATATTCAAATATTCCGATATTCAAATATTCAAATTTTCAAAATTTCAAATTTTCAAATATTCAAATAAATCAAATAAATCAAATAAATCAAATAAATCAAATAAATCAAATAAATCAAATAAATCAAATAAATCAAATAAATCAAATAAATCAAATAAATCAAATAAATCAAATAAATTAAATAAATCAAATAAATCAAAATAAACTCACCTGCCCGCCGTTTGTCTCCAAGCGAATATTCATCAGATCCAGTCTGGGCTACAAGCCCGCGCTTCTGCCAAAATACAAGCGCACTCTTCACACAACTTTCGTCTGTCCCCAGTGCTTGCACAAGCTCATGGACCGTCCATTGTTCTAAAACAAGTCAAAAAAAAATGTTAAATAAGTTTATCATCATTGTTATTAAAGTTAGATCAACAATGTTCCACCCTTAAATTAAACTTAGAAACTTACCACGTTCTTCAAATAAACTTATCAAGCAGGCCTTCTCCGGAGATACAATATATTCCACAACACTCCCATCAACCTCAATCTCTACCGTCACGCTTCCTAAACTACCAAGCCAAACAAGTTCCCGGCCTTGCTTCAGCTTCTCAAAACTCCCCTCAAACATCTTCATTTGTCTAAAATAATAAAAAAAAAGTTAGTTTCACCATTCAAAATACCAAATCAAATCAAATCTTCACTCACTCTTCAATCTTTTTAGGTGCTACACACGTCACCCCATTATACCGAGGCCAGTATAGCCCGGAAATCACATCCGCATGAAAATATTCTGCAACACCCCCACCCCCACCATGAACAAGCCCATCAATCCGCCGGCTCTCCGCCATGTCCTTTATCATCACATCCAGATTCCCCAATGCCTCCTCCCCAAACTTCAGCTTCAGCAATTCAATCGTCATCAATACTGTCTCCTCATCAAACTCATGAGAAAACAACATCGTATCTGCAAACCGCTTCATCAACTCTTTCACCATCACATCCTTATTATCAAAAATCGATATTAAACTCCCAATAATGTCCACCCCATTCTGTCCATTACCACCACCACCACCAAAATCCGGAGGCGCATCCAACGGATCAGGCTGCCAGTTCAAATCATCCTCCTCGGGACCGCTTTCCTTACAAACACCCAAACTCACTAACTCATTCGAAAGTTCCCTAATCGGTGACTTCTTATCTCCCAATATCCCAGATAATACCTCCTTAATTGTATCATCCCGATCCTTCAAGTACCGCCGAATTGGCCGCGCAACCTTGTCCAGCAATACCCCGCGCGGCTCCAGTAACGATAAACTCCGGATAATCGAAATGTACCCAAGCAAAACGTCCACTGTATTAGCACCACCATGCAGCAACCGCCGCGAGCAACTCTGTTGCAGCGAGTTCACAATTGCAGCCCGTTGCTGACTGTTTCTCACACATCCCTTAATGTCCACAATTGCAGGACGCGATTGGGGGAAATCCACTATAATGTCAAACAACTCGTCAATCCGCACGTCCAAAAAAACATTGTCCACTATCCTCGTCAAATCTTCTGCACTTGGAACGTCCGCTCCAAACATCCCAACACCAGCAACCGCAGCCAATGTCTGCTTAGCCCAAGCCTCAAGCTCAGGCCGTACCTCTCGCGTCCACTCCCCACGGTACCGCTCAACCACTACCCGCGTCACATCCCGCAAAAACCCAGCAAGCACTGCATCCTGTACCCGTCCTGCAGGTAAGTATGCATCGGCCACCGCGGCCAATGCACCTACCACCTGGTCCGAGGGCGTTGAAAGCGAGACTTCTGGCGAGTCCAGGTATTTCTCAAGACACGGCCGGACGGCAGTATAAGGAGCTGCGAGTCCCACCAGGGCACGGAAATGGTTTGCCAGGCGGTCGCTGAGATTAAATCCGTGTGACGCAACGTCAAGAGAATCGAAAAAGGTCACAGGGTACAGGTAGTGTCTGCGAGACTCGGCAATGACCGACGCAAGATCTGCAAAAGACTGCGACCCAAGAGATTGCTGAAGTAACGGAGCAGCGTGCTGCATAAAATGTGTTCGCATGAGGTCAACGTACCGGGTCTCCAGCACGCGCACGCTCTCCGGGCCTGCCTTTTCGAGAGCTTTTATGGCTGTCAAAACCTTGTCTGATGGAGGTGCAAGTAAAGTATCTGGGTGCATCCATTCAAGAACAATTTGAGTTTCAGCATCTGTAGAATCCGATTGAGGTGATGGTCTGAGCACCGGGCCCAGAATGGAATCGTCAAGGATGTTCATTTGCAATGTTGTTTGTGATTTGTGATGAGAAAGATTGGGGAGGGTTTATTTATTTTTATTATTTAATTTTTATATTAAGCCTTATAGATGACGTAACAACTGACTCAGCATATTTTTGTATTTTTGTATTTTTGTATTTTTTTTTATTTATTTTTAATTTTTAAATTTTTTTTTTTTTCCAACTAAAAAAAAAACCATAAAAATTTTCAAAACCACCATTCTTTTTGTCAAAAAATATCACCACCACCACAACAACATTAACACCAACAACAACAATAGATGACGCAGATTCACCAAGCGCCACCTTTTCTTGCTCAGACCCAGCCAAAGGGACCGTTCTATACAATGGCCCGACTTCCTGGGGCTGCAGGAACTGCTGCAGATACACTGCCTCTTGGAACCATCCGCACTTCCGACCTCAAGAAAACTACTGACCCGCTCGCCTTGGCTTCAACCCTTGTCGATGCCTACATCAACAAAGATGCAAAGTATCCAGAAATTGGCCAGATGTCGCTTCGTATGTTTATTGTCAATTCTCAATTGCCTATCTAACTAACTTTCTAGAATCCACATGGTCACAGTACCTTTACTTTGAATCCGCACTTCTACTTGGACCCTTTTCCCCATTCACACGTATTGAAACGATCAACATCCCAGACTCGGTTTACGAGCGTTATAACCGTATGTCCTTTTCTTTTTACTTTAACCCTTCCCTATTTTTTTTATTAACTATTTTTTTTTTAGAAACAAAATGCAAAACCCAAATGGGACTTTTTGCGGAAATTGACCGTGTATGGATCACTGTCGATAACCGCCTTTATTTTTGGAACTACCGCACAGGAGGCGACCTCCACACATTTGACGAAATGGATACCACCATCATTTCTGTCGCTCTCGTTCCTCCTAAAAAGGGTCTTTTTATCGACTCCATTTCCCATCTTCTCGTTCTCGTCACTCTCTCCGACCTTTACATTGTCGCTCTTTCTCACAATAAAGAATCAAACTCTATCGAGCTTTACGAAACAGGCATGTCTGTTTCCGTAAAGGGCCTCGACGTCTCCCAAATCGTCGCAAGTCCTAAAACCGGCCGCATCTTTTTCACTGGAGACTCGGACGGAACTAACCTCTGGGAAATCATCTATAGCAATGTCGAGACCTGGTTTAAAGGTAAGTGCTCCAAAGTCTGCCACAGCCGCCAATACCTACTCTCTTCTTTGGCCCCATCTCTGCCAAACTCGGAAATCATCAAGTTAGAAAAACTCCCCGTCATTGGCAACTTTGTCAAGAACCACGAGCCTGAGCGCATTGTGTCCGTCGTCATTGATGATTCTAGAAACCTCATCTACACGCTCTCAACTCAGTCCTCAATCCGCATGTATTACATGGACCCTAAAAGCTCCACTGTTTCGCTTCTTTACACCTATACTAGCAAGCAAATTTCTTTCCACCTTAAAATGATCACCACCCAAGATCAAACCTCTCCAGCTGGTTCCGCATCCACAGCAAACCATAGCAACCAGAAACTTTCTATTGTCTCCATAAATGTCATTTCCTCCACTGAAAGCTCTTCTCTTAACCTCGTAGCCATCACTGCAACTGGCTCCCGCATCTTTATAAAAACAGACAACACATCGGGAACTCGGCCACCAACAACAATGCAGGCCATCCAGCTGCGCTTCCCCCCAGTATCAAACAATGGTGCTCCAGCAATTTCCGGACCAGCAACAACTCTCTCGCGAACTTTCCCCCCCGGATACTTTTTTGCTGTGGTTCCAGCCGAAGATAGCAATAAGCTTTTTGTTGCAGCCCCAGATTCAGGGAAAATCATCCACCAAATGACTCCAGGCTCAAACACTCAATACTTTGAAAACGCTTGCTACTTGGAAACAGAAGGCTTCATCCAGGATATTGCTCTCGTCACCCCATATGCCCCCCTTGGCAAGCCCGGCTTTGGCAACGAGTCCCGCGCCCAGTACACAGTTGCAAACCCGCGAATTGTCGTGCTCACAAATACTGGTGTTCATATCTTTAGTCGCCGTTACCCATACCAAATCTTTGAAGAGCTGGGTCAAGACATTCGCCCATTCTTTGAGTTTTACGGCCGTGCTGAAACATGTACTAGCGCTCTCAGCATTGCCAGCCAGCCTGCGCTTTTTAGTCACACAGAGGCCGAGTTTGCTAGCAAGGTTTACATTGAGCTTGGCGGGAAACCCCACGTTAAGGTTGACGACGAAAACACTTACTCGCTTTCATCAACAACTTCAACTACAACCTCGACATTGGCGAATGCCCCCTCGTTTGCGCCGTTTTCCAGTCAGGTCGTCCCCGCAAGCAACAATACCGATCTCATTAGACTTTCTGGCCGATTCGACGGCCTTGCCACCTATATCTCGCGTATCATTTACACCATTTGGAACCAAAACCTTTTCCAAACAAAGAAACAGACTCAAGCAGGAGCAAAACATCCTAAAGCGTTTGCAATTAATTTTAGCAAAAAGTCGATTGAAAAAACCCAATTAACTCTCGTGCAGATTGCAGAGTATTTGGACAAAAATAGAGCCTTTATTGATGGGCTTGGTGGGGAACCTACAAATAACCTGACAGGAGGCCGTGCAGAGGAAATTTCCCTACAGGCAGAACACCGCGGGCTCCATGCTCTTGTCAAACTCATTACGTCTATGCGTGAAGGCCTTTCGTTTTTATTGCTCCTTCTGGACGAGTCAGCTAAAGCCTCCGATGGCTTGGAATCTATCACCACATATCTCCCACAACCAGTTCGAGACAAGCTGGAAACAGTCACCTTCAAGTCTTTCTTCACTACTTCTCAAGGTGTAGAGCTTGCACATGAGCTCATCACGTGCCTTGTAAACAGAAACGTTTCCGAAGGAGGGTCTGTGGACTCTATCTCGGCGATTTTGAAGGACCGTTGTGTGAGCTACTGCTCTGCAGACGACGTCATTATCTACAAGGCCCTGGAGTGTCTACATAAGGCTGAGTCGCTTGACATTGACTCGCGCATGCAAAAGCTTAACGAAAGCTTGCGGTTGTTTCAAAAGGCGGCCGCCAGCATCAACTTTGACGTCCTCAAGGACGCAGTCGACATGTTTGTCAAGCTTAGATTTTATCCTGGCGCTGTCGAGCTAGCCCTTACAGCTGCACAACATGAGGACCGAGGGAACGTGGCTGTTGGGTACTTGCACGACGACAAGCCCGAGCGCGACCCGCGCAAGGAGTACTATGAGAAGCGGTTGCGTACTTATGAGCTTATTTTCAAGGTTCTTGATGTGGCTGACGAGCGTGCCAATCAGGAAATTGCAAGCAAACCTGTTTTAGAGACCGAGCCTCAGCTGGCGGTTTACCCTGGAGGAAATGACTGGTCTTCAGAAGTGTACTTGCGTAATGAGGCCTATGCAGTATGCTATGGCGCTCAGGATGAAGTGTTTCATTATTGTTTTTACGACTGGTTTATTTCTAAAGGTGTTAACGAGCGTCTGCTGGAAGTGGATACACCTTATATTCAATCATACTTGGAAATCAAGGCCAAGTCGGATATAAACATTGCCAACCTGTTATGGGTTTATTACCAACGTCACCAAAACTATTATGCGGCTGCACAAGTGCTCTTTGTATTGGCCAAGAGTAATAATTTTGATTTGGATCTGAACCAGCGAGTAGAGTACTTGTCGCGGGCACGCAGCTACTGTGGGTGCCCTTCGTTCCCCGAGGTGCGCCAAGAGGCGATGCAGCTTGGAGTACAGATCCAAGAGTACCTGGATGTGGCGATTATCCAAGACGAGATTTTAAAGCGAGTTATTGATGACCCCAAGTTTACGGATGAAAACAAGCGGCTGGCAATGGTAGAGTCACTAAGCAAGCAACTATTAGATGTCAGCACTCTGTTTAACATGCACGCCTGGCCGCTGGAATACTACGACATTTGCATTCAGATCTTTAGTTCTGCGGACTTCCGGTCGACTGAGGAAATCAATAATGCCTGGACAAAGCTCATTGAAAGTGAGCACCGCAAAGCTATTGAGGAAGACAAAACACAGCCCTATGAGGTTATTTCACAGGTGATTCAACGCCTTGGCCAGCAGCTGATGTTGTCAGAACTTGTATTCCCATCCGAATTTCTTGTACAAAAACTAGAAGCGTATGCTGTGGAACATGGCCAAAGTGATGGACCCTTGGGCTGGATTGTTGAGACATTTTTGAATGCTGGACTATCGTATGAAAGCCTTTTTGTAATTTTCCGTGACTTTGTTGAGCGTCGTGAGTATCCCTTTGACGAGGCTCAAGGGTACCAGCAACTTGTACAAGATGTGGTATACTTACTTAACAAATGGATCAAGGAGACTCGTGCATCTGATATGGCTGAATACGTGGACGCTGGGTTCCTTAAACGGCTGGAAGATACAGTGGGCAAAAAAGATTTGGTCCGCGTGAGATCATATGTGGAGAACCGGTTACGAAAGTAGGGAAGGTGTTGAAGTATAATAAGTACGGATGGATATAAATATATATATAAAGGAAAAAATAAAAAAAAAAGTTAATTACATATATATGTATATATATATATATATATAAGTTACTCTTCAAAGCGAATGGATTTGCGCTGTTTGGGCTCCGACTTGGGCTCAGCCGTGGCCGTAGCTGTTGCAGCAGCAGCAGAGGCTGTAGATTTCTGGGCAGTAACAGCAGGTGGAGGAGCAGCTGGAAGAATTGGGGTTGCAGCAGCATGATCACTTGAGACAAGTTCTGCAGTACGGACCCAACGCCGCCGGCGAGTATACTTAAGAAAGGTGTCTTCCGTGGACGGTTTTTTCCATGTATTATCATAGTAGACCCACCCGTTAGCAGATCCAGGGTCGGCAGTGAGTCGTGACTTGCCCTTGGGGACGACAAGTGCGCCGTCGTTTGTTTGGTCGAGTTTCCATGTTTTGTCGACCCAGCGCCAATGGACTGAGCCAAAGGGGTTGCTGTTGTTATTGTTGTTGTTATTTTCTGCGGAGGTTGTAGTGGTAGTTGCAGTAGTAGTAGTAGTAGTTGTTGTTGATGATGATGATGATGATGATGATGATGGAGAATGCACAGCCGTGCTGCTAGAGGTATTATTATTAGTATTATTACCACCACCTAAGATTCCAGCAGAAGCAGTGACTCCTGTGACGGCAGAAATGGCCTCATCGTCTGAAGGCAAACGGAAAGCTTCTGGTGCTGGAGACTCGTTAAGAAACTCGTCAGTCCAGGGGGCACGCTCATATGCCAATAAGTTAGCGGTCCATCCAATGCCGAGCCAGCGGCGCTGGTTCTCGTAAATGACATAAACGAAACGGACAGGTTTACCATCTTTGGACTGGACCCCAAAGGGTGAGCCTGCAGTTGCGGCAGCGGCAGCAGCAGCAGCAGATGAAGAACCTGTGGTTGCACGCTTAAGAGTACGGGAAAAGTCAAGGCCTGTGATATAAAAGGCAGCTAGACGGATAGAGCGGGAACGCCAAAGAACGGCACGGGTAACACGAGCATAGACTGAGTGATAGGTAAGAATGGCAATTCCGGTAAAGAGGATGATAGAACGTGGAGTAAGCACGAAAAAGGCAATGATCATGTAAACTGGAGACATGAAAAGGGTGGTGAAGAGGAGTCTAGACACATCATGTGGGGAGAGATTGAGGGTAGTTATGGGAGAAAAAAAGAGGTTTGCACGGGTTGTTAAGTTTGTGAGAGTATGGACTATAGAGTCTAAAGTTGGGTGGGAGGCTCTTTCCTTTGCCAGACTAATTCCTGCATAAACATGGGCTGCAACGGCTGCGACAGCGAAGAGATGGCCAGCGTATTTGAGGAGAGGGTCTGAATATAGTACAAGGCCTGCGTAAGTTACTGTGAGCAAGAATGGTTGCCAGAGGTCATCACAAGTCCATGTGAGGAGTGCGAATGCATGGTCTGCTGCTAGTAATAGTGGGTATGCTTGTGAGAGGGCTTTTGTTATTGTGGGTGGAGTGGAGGCTAAGAGTGGTGAAGTGTTTTGAGGTGGGAGAGCAGTAGAGGGGGCAAATGCAGCGTAAGTGGGTACCTCTGTACGTTTTTCAGCAGGTGCTGGAGCCGATTGTTTCGGCGGAGAAGACATGAGTGGTTAGTTGTTTGATAGGGTGTTTGTGGGGAAGGGAAAGGGGGAGGGAGGTATTGATGATGATAATTATGATGGGTGGTGGAGATGGTGGTGATGGAGGAATTTTTTTTTTTTAAAATTTAAAAAAAAATTAAAAAAAAATTAAAATAATTAAAATAATCAAAAAATTAAATTAAATTAAATTAAATTAGCGCATTTAGTTTAATTAAGTTTGATTAAGTTAAAATCATGTTATTATTTGTGGTTAGGGTATTTATTTATTTTAAATTTTTTTTTCATGAGTGCTGAGTCAGCTGAGTCATTGTTTACATTACGACTCATAAACGAGTCATGAGTCAGTCAAAAAGAAAAATTCAACAGTCATTCGGGATTTGAAAAAAAAAAAAATAGCAATCTTAGATTTACCAGTTTTAATTATACATACATATATATATATATATATATATATATTTATTTATTTTAAAAAAAAGAAAAAAAAAAAGGCCGGGAGAAGACCGATGATTATTAACAGTTTGAGAATTTCTAAAATAAACAATAAACAATAAAGGGTTAGGGCAAAAGTACTACCAATTAAAGATCGGCGATAAGCCGGAAATTTTTTTTTTTTTTTTTTTGTTGCTTGAAAAAAAAAAAAAATAATAATAAAAAAAAAAAAAAAAAAAAGCGTAACCGAAAACAGTAAGTGGTGCGAGTCACCAGTGAGTCACGCAAGATGATTGGGCCATATGGAAGGGGAAGGAAGAGGGGGAGGGGGACATAGAAGAGCGACGGGGACTTTTAAAAGACGAGAGAGTGAAAGAAAGAAAGAAAGAAAGAAAGAAAGAAAGAAAGAAAGAAAGAAAGAAAGAAAGAAAGATCTTTTGATATATATCAAACTATATGTATAGTTTTTCAAAAAAAAGAAAAAGATGTAATTGGGAAAAAAAAAAATAAATATAAATGAAAAGACCCCGCAAGTATATATTTTTAAAAAAAAAAAAAAAAAAATCAAAAGAATAATAATAATATAATTTTTTTTTTTTTTTGTTGGGATCTTTGTAGGGAAACAAAATTATATAAAAGTACATCTATTTCCCCAAGTTTTTTTAAAAAAAAAAATTTTTTTTTTTCCCTCCTTTAACCAATACCCCATAGACATATATACCATAGACGCACATATATATATATATATATATATAAATCTATTCCATCCATCTATAAAATGACGGAAAATAAACCCATTGTCTATGAAGACACCAGCAAATACGATGCCACAGCTCTCACCAAACAGCTCTCGGCAGATGAAGAATATGACAATACTTCTTCCACTTCTACCAACTCTTCTCCCAATATTGACCTTTCCGATGAGGCCACCCAGCATGAGCTCGATAGAATTTATCGCAAACTTGATTTACGAATCATTCCACCACTTTGGTGCATGTACTTTTTGACATCTATGGGATCTTCACTTTACGGTAATGCCCTTACTATGAATAGAGAAACCGGTGACTCTTTACGTCTTCAATTAGGACTTTCAGCACATGATACTTCTACAGCCTCAGCTCTTTATTATGTCGGCTATATTATTTTTGATGTACCTATGAACCTGGCAATGACTCGACTTGCCCCACAGACTTGGCTCTCACGTATTGTTATTACTGTAGGACTAGTCTATGCATGCTATGGAGCGCTATCGACTGCAGGTGGTGTTATTGCCATTCGTCTTATTTCTGGCATTTGTGGTGCAGGTACATGGCCTGGTCTTGCTTACTACATTTCATTATGGTATCCGGCACATCGTACAGCCCGGCGAATAGGGTACTACTTTACAGCAGCACAAGTATCTGCAAGTGTTGCAGGATTAATTGCGGCAGGGTTTCAACGTATGAATAATGATCGTGGAATGTCTGGATGGCAATGGATGTTTTTGATTTATGGTGTTGTGACTATTGTTGTTGGTATTTCATTGATTTGGTGGTTACCAGACCGACCAATTCCTGTGTTTAATAATAATGATGATGATAGTAATAATAATAATAATAATAAGCGTAGTAAGGCATCTAAATTTTTAGATTCACTTACAGTACGCCAGCGTCCTATTTTGACTGAAGCTGAACAAGCTTTGCATCAGGCTGACATGAAGGGCCGGTACCTAAATGTTTCATGGACTCTTAAAGATTTATGGAAAGTTTTTATTGATTTCCGTATTTGGCCATTGGTTATTATGTATTTTGGAGTTGTGGGTACTGGTTATGGGATTGTTGTTTTTGGTACAACTATTTTAACTACTATTAATGGTAAATGGTCATCTGTGACATTATCATTATTGATGGCACCTATTTGGATGTGTGATTTAATTGCCATTTTATTTGTGACACCATTTAGTGATAAGTTTAGGCGTTGGCGTGGAACTGTTTTTTCTGCATCTACTGTTGTTATTATTGTTGGTATGGTTGTTACTACATATGCTCCACGTCAATGGCCTCGATATGGAGGTTTATTGATTACTGGGTTTGGATTAGGTCCTACAGTTCCTATTTGTATGACGTGGGCTGCTGAGATATTTGGTCCACGCCACGGTGATGTTGGTACTGCGGCTAGTGCAGCATTAGTTTCTGGGTTGGGTAATTTAGGTTCAGTTACAACAACATATGCACTTTATACAGGGTGGCCAAGAGATGTTAAACGAGGATTTGAGTATAGTAATATGGTAGTTGTGGCGATTCTTGGAATTAGTATTTTATCTGCTGCTATATGTGCGTTGACATCTGGTTCAGTTCGGTTCCCAGGAGTGAGTCGGGTTAAGAAGAGTGCAAATGTTTAGTTGTTTTTTTTTTTGTAATTTTTGTAATTTTTGTTGTAAGTTCCATGTTAATAGACTTTTTTTTTTTTTTTTTTTGTTTTTTATTTTATATACTCGGGATGAGAAGGTTGTTACTCGGAACTGCACAGCCGTTTGGGGTCCGAGTTTGATTTTAATTTTAATTTTAATTTTTTTCAATAATTATTATATAATAAATAAATAATAATAATAAATAAATAATAATAATAATAAGGTGATGGCGTCATTTTAGTGAAGAAACAAGCAATTTTTTTTTTTTTTTTTTTCAAGTCACTTCCTTTTTCTATCATAGAGAAGTCCAAAAGTCCAGAAAAAAGAAAAAAAATTGTGGCTTAAATAGCAACAAAAATGAATTAACAAAATAAAATTTTTTTTTTTTTTTTTTTTTTTTTTTTCAATAGTTGCTACATGGCTTGTTTTCATTAATGCGCCAAATAGAAGGAATTAAAAAAAATTTTTTTTTTTTTTTAAAAAGCCAATATATTTAAAAACCAAAGTAGCATAAAATAATGGAGGGAAGAGAGGGAGGGGGGGTTTTTTTTTTTTTTTTTTTTTTTTTAATTATTTAAATAGAAATAAATTAATTGCAATTTTCAAAAAAAAATATTTATTTATA